TCGGGTCAGTGACGCCTTCCGTTTGACCTGTACACTTGCTGATGCGGATTGTGCAGAGCCCCGGGTCAGTGACGCCCTCCGTTTGACCTGTACACTTGATGATGCGGATTGTGCAGAGCCTCTGGTCAGTGACGCCCTCCGTTTGACCTGTACCCTTGATGATGCGGATTGTGCAGAGCACCGGGTCAGTGACGCCCTCCGTTTGACCTGTACCCTTGATGATGCGGATTGTGCAGAGGCTCGGGTCAGTGACGCCCTCCGTTTGACCTGTACACTTGATGATGCGGATTGTGCAGAGCCTCTGGTCAGTGACGCCCTCCGTTTGACCTGTACCCTTGATGATGCGGATTGTGCAGAGCACCGGGTCAGTGACGCCCTCCGTTTGACCTGTACACTTGATGATGCGGATTGTGCAGAGGCTCGGGTCAGTGACGCCCTCCGTTTGACCTGTATCCTTGATGATGCGGATTGTGCAGAGGCTCGGGTCAGTGACGCCCTCCGTTTGACCTGTATCCTTGATGATGCGGATTGTGCAGAGGCTCGGGTCAGTGACGCCCTCCGTTTGACCCGTACCCTTGATGATGCGGATTGTGCAGCGCACCGGGTCAGTGACGCCCTCCGTTTGACCTGTACACTTGATGATGCGGATTGTGCAGAGCCTCTGGTCAGTGACGCCCTCCGTTTGACCCGTACCCTTGATGATGCGGATTGTGCAGCGCACCGGGTCAGTGACGCCCTCCGTTTGACCTGTACACTTGATGATGCGGATTGTGCAGAGCCTCTGGTCAGTGACGCCCTCCGTTTGACCCGTACCCTTGATGATGCGGATTGTGCAGCGCACCGGGTCAGTGACGCCCTCCGTTTGACCTGTACACTTGATGATGCGGATTGTGCAGAGCCTCGGGTCAGTGACGCCTTCCGTTTGACCTGTACACTTGATGATGCGGATTGTGCAGAGCCCCGGGTCAGTGACGCCCTCCGTTTGACCTGCACCCTTGATGATGCGGATTGTGCAGAGGCTCGGGTCAGTGACGCCCTCCGTTTGACCTGCACCCTTGATGATGCGGATTGTGCAGAGCTCCGGCCGACGGCGCGCGTCACGTCCCACGCGCCACCGATCAACTCGACACCTGCACGAGAGTCTTCCCGCCGACCCGGCGCACGAGGTGGTGCCGTCCGTGCCGAGATCCGTCCGCGCGTTTTGGCACAGCACGCTCGGCAGGTTGGTCGCACATACAGTGGGGCAGCCGGACAGAGAAGCCAGTTTGATATTTAGTCCAGAAACAACACGCAGCGCGTCACCATGCAGCCGAGCAAGTGCGACTACCAGAACAGCTAGGCCGCGCAACGCTGGCCAGCCGTAGTCACCGCAGGGCTACCACGTCAGAGGATGTGCCCGGCAGGCGCACGATGCCGTCGCCAAGGAGACGGTTACGCCGCCGGCGGCCGGATCTGCCCACCAGCGTATGTCGCTCCGGTGTCCGGACCGCCTGGACGCTAAGCCATTGGTGGCCTGCGCGTCGCGGTACCCGCACACATCAGGCCGGGCCCGCAGCCGGGGAGGCGCGCCCCAGCACAAGGGGAGGAAGGGGGAGGCGAACTCCAGCATGCACTCTCACGGCCGCTGCGGCAGGCCGGCCGGTGAACACTCCGACGACTCGAGGCACTACTTCCGAACCATGCGGCACGAGTGAAGGCTGCCGCCGGGCGGACGAACGCTGGGCAAAAAGGACCACGTTTATGTAGCACATCCACACGCAAGTGCCGTGCACGGCGACGGTCCTGCCCAAATGCGGAAGGCAGGCTTTTGGGGAATTCGTTGTTTTAAATGAGAGCCTGCGGGGCTCGGGTCGGCCTTGTGCGTCACGTCAGCCACGTCACGATTCTGAGGCTCGTCATCGCACTGCTGCATGGCGGGGGCTTGTGTCCTGTCGCTAGAGTTGGCTTCAATATGCACAGTGCTCAACTGTGGCACCGCTTGATCTTCTGCTTGATTGCAGTGACTAAGCAAGCTGCTCCGGTCGCGATCCGTTAGGAAAATCCGCCAGCACTGACAGGACGGCAGCTGTCTGGTTTCACCCGCATACTGCCTTTGCGCTTCCCACGTTGCGTGTGTCACCGTGCCCCATTTAGCTAAACGCTCGTGTCTACGGGCCTGTGTGCGCTTGCCAGTCACACAAAATGCGCTTTCTCATTGCATCTTCTGAATTGCAACGCAAAAATCACACGCAAGCCTTTGCGGTCTGCCGGCGCCCCAATCTGCAGCGCTTCAGCGAACGAATCCAGTCCTGTACCGACTTCTGGGAGCGGCCTCGTTCGAGCAGCTGTCGAGCCTGAGCCAGCTGTTGCCTGGTATCGGCATGACAGGACTGGACGCTGCGAGTTGACGTCGACCCTCGCTAGCTAATCGGCTGTCGAGCCTGAGCCAGCTGTTGCCTGGTATCGGCAGGACTGGACGCTGCGAGTTGACGTCGACCCTCGCTAGCTAACCGGCCCGCAAGGCAACACGCAACGGGGCTCTTGTGCTGTCTGCTTTGTCAGTGATGGTGCATGAAATCACTCATAACGGGCTCAATACACTTGATTGTAAATATTTCCAGATGGACTGAATCAGTTAAAAGCATTTCATGCAAATTCATTAAAAATGACCTTTTGTATGATGTGATGGTGATTTGGGGTTTTAGGGCGCATCGACTGCATTGGAGGGGAAGGGCGAAATCCCCCCCCCCCCCCACCTCCCGTTTTTCGTGAACATCTCCGGAGTGAATGGACGGATCTGCATGGTGTTTTTACTTACCTGGAAATGAAACCATAGCGCGTCGTTTAAAGTAAAGAAGAAAATCGACTGGAAAATTGTGAAGTTACAGGCTGACCAAGCCAACAGCGTAGCCAGCGTCCGAGCGTGAGCACAGGCGCTGATACGCTTCCGGTATATCTACAGCAATGCAATGTTCCTGACAGCACTGATGATTTTTTCCATACTGCTATGCATTATAATCTGAATGTCATGCTGGGCCACTGAGGTTAATTCGGGTCAAGTTTAAAGCCAGTTAATGGGATCAAACTGGGTTTGCCTCATGGTTGTCACGAGCACAAATAGCGACATATCGTTGTGAATGTGTAAATGAATATAAATGTGAATGAGTCATGTCTGTTTGTTAATTTGTTCACTGCTGGCACACCCCAGCTGTTTCTTCAGAAAGTCTAACTCGCTCGGCCGTCCGGCCAGTTAGCCAGCCAATCGACCAGCTGCTCCACTCTGCAGCAGGGATGAGGGCAAATGCTACATTTCTAAAGCATTGTTTCATTTCATCAATATCATCATTTCATCATTTCATCTGTAGCATCCTTTTTATCTGAAGAAGTGTTGGCAGCCATTCAATGAATTCAAAGCTGTGCCTCAGTTGCATCAGACTCATGTTATGCACAACATCTTTACTCACAAATAGGCATAAAGTAACCAAACAGAAATGAGATGAGACTGGGGTGTGCAAGTCAAGACATGATAATTTCTGATGGCTATAAGATACAATATTTGAAGATGCAAAAAGCAATTTCATAAAATGCAAACATTTGAGCCCATGCTTTAGCTGATAATATTGACATATCACCTGCTTTTGTGCCATGCATTATATAGATAATGTATCAACACCATGGCACATTAAACCAGCCTTTCTTCCTTACAGCATCTTGATTTTGATGTTGTGCATCATTCATTTAAATTTTATAGATGAGCACCCCTCTTCAATAAAATTTAGGCTGAGATACAACCTAAAATTCCAGGCTTTATCATGACCATCATGATTTGCAACATATCATTTTAGGATAATGATCATTATATTTTCCTTGCTATCATCAAGCATCAGGACAGGCACATTTCACTATTCCTTCCTGGTTATAATTTTTTTTTAGCTTCAGTGTTAACATTTTTCTAAGCATGGATACTGTTTCTTAAAAAATATGCACCAGAACTGTCCTGATAAACAAAACACTACTTTTGTCAGAAATTCAATGCTGTTTTAGTTTCACCAGCATCTCACATACAGTACCATCTATTCAAATTTTCAGACTCAATTTTATAAAGGAAATATGCTGCACTGCCATGAAAAAATTGTGTTGAAAATTTGTGTGTTAACTGCCAAACTTGAAGAACATGAGTCATGATAAAATCTACACCAGCAATTGCCAGTTTCCCAAAAAAGCACAAAAAATAGTGGCATCAAAAACTTAATAGGACTTTTTGTTGGATTCCAGTGGATTAAAGTTGGATTCTAGCCCTTTCCTTGGTACGGGTCTTGAGGTAACATTCACAATGCATTGCTGTCAGCAAAATTTATCAACTTGAGAGGACAGCTTTTCTCTTTGCCCCCACAAATCAACAGTCCATCCAGCCACATTATATACTTAACTACTGAGGTGTGTAATGTCCACTCATAAATCAGGTTGCATACAGAGGGAGAGGTTGTTTCTAAGCAGCATGACTGGTGCACAATGGCTGGAAGGGAATTTATATCTTATGTCACATGTGGTTACCAATCATCCAGAAATCTTAAATGCAAGTAGGTGAAAAGCATAACTAGGATGTGAAATTCTACCAAATATCACCAGTTTGTGTCCATGAGTAAATGAAAATGGAAGCAAATATGTATTGCAACTCAAGGATATTCCAACAGGCATCTACACGCATGCATTTAATAGCATGTACATGAACCTATGTGCATAATATATGTTTACATTATATATATATATATATATATATATATATATATATATATATATATATATATATATATATATATATATGTACATATATTAGGGTAGCAGTACAGACATGGAAGGTAAAAAAATATGAGTAACTCCTCTGACCAGCTATGATCTGGCACGCAGAGGACGTGTCTTTGTGGCCTAGTCTGCTATTGTCAGGATAACAGACTTGACTGTATTTGTCAGGAATCTTCTTGAATGTGTTCAAAGCTAGGGAGAGTCGGGCAAGCACTTACCGGAAGGGCAGGGGAAGACGTAGCAACGACAAACCGCGCCCTACGAAATCATGAAATATTTCAAAACTACCAGCATCTAGATAGAAGCAGTCTGTTAAACAGCTAAGACAGTCTGGTCATGAATGTAACGCATGCGTTGAAAATGCCTACTACAATGATTGGCCATCAGCTAATGTTTGGTCATGCAATATTATTGTGTCTTCCAACTTTTGTCCAATTCCCATTTTTTCATCAATTCCATAACCCTTGCATTCAATATCTATGTATCAAAAATGTTAGTTGTTTGAATTATGCCAATTTATTTCTTTTTTCTGAAGTATATGCCCATGCAATGTTTTAAAACATTATTTTTCACAGCTGCCTGTTCATAGTAAAACTCTACTCAACTCGGGCTAAGTAGAAAGTAAAAATGGCGCGAGCCCATGGGTGTGAGTTGCTACCGCATATGCTACCGGTAAATGGAGAGAGATGTGATTGGCCAATGGTCATCAATGAAATTACTATTGCGACGTAGTAAATACCACGTGCGCAGCAGAGAAGACCAAAACAAAGCCTGCGTGGTGGTGTCAGGGGTGCAGGAGCTGAAAATATGTGATTGCCGCTCTCCTCTTGTGACTGATTTCCGGCAGAAGTGATTTCATGCGGACGGATAGCTGCGTCGACGGCTATACTCGTTGGGAAAGTGAACTTCGTCGTAGGTGCTGGGAAGGAGGTCACAAGGGGAGTGACGACGCCCATTGCCGCTTCAGGTAAGTGTCATGCTCCTGTTGATTAACTTATTCAGCTGCCCAACGTATGTTAGATTACGGGCTAACTAAATGAACCATATGCGCGTCGAATCACGAGTACCTTTGAGACATTTGGTGTGACCTTGAATGGTGAAACGTTGACCCGCATTAAAATGGCGCTGCCATGCGGACCATGGGGCAATTCACCATTGTCCTAGCCGACCCGTTTAACCAATGCTTCGGACTTCGATGAGGACTAGTTTTGACTTGTGTGCATTTGTTGTGTGCAACCATTTACTGTGCAGGTAAATGTAAATGGTGGATGCGTGCATGTAATATGCGAGCTGGCACATGTATGTCATGGCTACCAGCGACTTGAAATATTGTGTGATGCTGGGGCGCCCAGTGGCGAAAAGTGCAGAAACACATTGTGAATCGTGATATATGCAGGATGTTCGTAAATCTTTCTCGTAACACATTCCCTGCTTCAAGGCACTGTTTTCCATGCCTGTAGCTGCACGACGTTACCTGAAATCTTGTCGTGAGCGGGCAAGTAGCGAACATTATATTTTTCGATCACCCATTTAAGCAAGATTGGAAGGCACGCCACCTTCCCGTGATAACACTGATGTGACATTCCATTGATTGGATACAATGGTGCCAGTGCGATCTCTTGAGAAGTGTGGTGGTAAAACGCAATTTCTACCCGATTTTTTCCGTGCGTGAGGTAAGATAAATGTTACGTTTTTGAGATGAAGAGACTCTCCTAAATCTAGCCCATTTAAGTGAGCACGTTAATTCGGTTTGATATTCTTTATGTACAATACACTACCTAATATATTAGGTACGTAGTAATACATACGTATTACTAATACATCCAACATCTCCAGCGATTGTATCAGGGGCATATTACTAGTGATAGTTGGTGCCACTAATTGTCCTCACTCCGCCGACAGTAGCCGTGTGCCAGCAAGCAAACTTTCTGCCTCGTGTATTCCTACACTGTGATTTGAAGGCCATAAATTGGTTTGCTGTAACTAGTCGAGCTATCGCTTGCCTTGAATGCACTCACGGCACCCTCCGCGAGTGCGGCCGGGATAAAACCGCGTATCTCGGGAAACTGCGGGGCCACTGATGCGATATGAATATTCATAAGCTCCCTCACACCTCACCTCACCTCACATCTCACCTAACACTTCTGCTCATAGTGGTGAGGCTAAATTGTGGAGAGTTAAATATTTATAAACAGCTGAGTAGACCACCGATAGCTTGTAAGAATGGCAAACGTTATCGGAAGGGGTCTCGGCACTGACCGAACGCTTCAGCGTGGAGCCGTGCAGGTCCCCCATGCCTAAACTTACAGTTGTTTCCAATGTAAAGGCATCTGCCAACATGTATTTGAACTAACTTCACATGGTATATAGCAGGGCGCTTAGTGCCTCATGTTCATTAACCGCATGTGCTGCCTCCGCTCTCCTGTGTCGTGCGCATGGTTCGCGCATAGTCGTGAGCGTGGTTTCGTTGGGAAGCCAGAGGTGCGTGGTACATCTGCTCGGCGTGCCTGCCGCTCCCACCACTGTGATAGGCGGACGATGTTGTGTTGCTTCAGTTGCCTCGCACGCTGTAAAGCTCCAATGACAACAGCAGAGCATCACTGGGACGGCGTGCTGCCATCCTTGTGTTGTTAGCTGAGAGCAGTAAAATACAGAAATAACACGATATGGAGGCTTAGACCATACACCATTGATAGTGGTCCTTTATCATTGGAAAGCTAGTTTTTCTGTAACTTTTGAAAGGCACGGGTTTAATTTGGTTTGATTTAAATTAGTTTGAATTGGTTCATTGATTAAATTAGTTGATTTTGGTTTAATTTAATTTGGTTTGGTTTAATTCATGTGAACGGCGTCACGCAATAACCGTGGTTATCGGTCCTGCTGCAGTTGGGCGAAGCGTGAAGTCCGGTTGTTCATACCGTCCCGGTAATTTTCAAGCCTTCATGAAACTACGCCCAGGGTTGTGGGTGTTTCGTGGGATTCATATGGTGACCATGGCTGTCGTGATCCTATTCCCTGTGTGAATTGAACCAATTAGCTTCAGTGGTGATAGTGTATTGATTATTTGAAGATACGAGAATTGCTCCGCTTATCTCATATTCATATTGCAAAATCCGATGCCATAGCTCATCGTTTTATCATTTTGCCAATATTGAGAGAGAAGACCGAACAACACACCGACTGTGATCTACCTTGCACCGGACACCAATATGTGACTGCTGTGCACATTTGACGGGCTACACGCCTTTAAGAGGAGTCGAAGTACAAACTGGGGAGTGATTTCGCTGGCGGTGCAATCTTATTCCGATATTGACAAGCAGCCCATTGAACAGGCTCAGATTATAATGGCTTCTTCGCGCTGGCGTTTTAATTTTCTTCTCTCGTGCATCGAAAGCAGGCGACGCCAGAATGACAACCAGGGTGGCGTGTAGTCGTAGTTCATACCCGAGATTGGTCAGCGTCCGATCCAGGACAGGACAGTTACTTTATAGGTATGTCATACGTAAGGTCCAAATGCCTGCTTAACTCCTCCGAAATATTCAGCCAGGAAAGGTGCAGTTGATAAACCAGCCTAAATACATAGCAAAGGGCAAATTAAAGCTGCTCGTTATGAAATAGTCTCAGCGAAGTTTTAAGCATGACTGAACAACTTAATGAATGCAACACGTTGTATTTTATCAAATTGAAACGGGAAATGAAGCGCCTCACGTCAATGGCACCTCACCCATTTTGGCACAAGCAAGCCCAGTTCTGATGTGCAAATGCTTGACCACTCGCAATGGACGTCCCCCCAAAAACTGCAAATCGTCATCATGACATACACACGTTTGGAAACGTCACATAGATTATATCATAAGGGCGTCATCAGACTTGGCGTGACATGGCGAGACAGTTCAAATTATATTCGACGTGACGCCCTAATTTAGTGGTTCGATTTCAGTTGCACCTTAAGTCAAGTGCAAGTTTGTACACGATATCACCGTGGTATTAACACATATATGATGAAGCTGCATGAACATTTACGCACGCGTCGTGACGCTATTCATCCAAACGCGTTGTCGCGCCGTTGTTACATCAAATACACCATGCATCGCGCATCAGAAACGGCGAAATGCATCCCATTCTTTGAATTATTTGAGTGTCTATGAATTGAAGTGGTGAGATCACGGTGCGTATCCGCGCGGGGACATGGGAAATTGTTATGAATATGATTCGGCACATTGGTTTATTTACCTCCACATTGGACGTCGTTGGTTTTTAGTGCAGGTTGATAGCGTCGCTTATTGTTGTTTGTAGCATGACGCTTTTAAACTCATCTGAATTGTACTTCGGAGTGCATGTATATGTTTGGGAATAGTGTAATGACAGGATTATGGAACATTGCATCGTCTTTCACAAACTTTGTTGGCATTTACCCATGAAGTAAAAGTTGATTTTATATTTCATCGTGCTTTATGTGCATGCATTTGATTTAATAAAGGCTTCCATAAACTGGTGTGTTTACGTAAAACACACCAGTTTGTAGTTGTAAACTGTTGGTATAGCACGGGCACGCGAGCACGCACTGGGACTATTAAAGCGTCTTCATAACGATGGAGGAACACCATGAACTTTTATTCCTAAAGCTCTGCGTCACGAAACATTGTGCGATATCAGCGTATGGCACAATGTCGGGACACCGTAGCTGGAAATGACTGTTGGCCTCTGTGGTGGGGCTATGAACAGCTTGTCCAGACACTGGGCTTTCGCTCCCCTGGGCGCTTTGTTTGCAGGAAACACTGTCATATAGGTTGTAGCGTGAGCACCAAAACATGGCAACAAATTTGCCACCATGTTATCGCTGAGCAGATCAGAAAGTGTCATCATAACGTGAAACAGAACTTAATCGAGAAGAATATGTGTTTGCGCTTACTAAACTAAAATGGAAGTAAAACCGTTTTGCTTTGAAACATTTGGGTACATGCCCTGCCAAGCCTGATATAAAAACGTGTCAAATTGTCATGGAAATCACAAGACTCAGCATAAAAGTACTGATAGCAAGATCGCATCACATGTTTGAAATGCACGAAATGTACATACAAATGCTCTGGTATGTCATCACCCGGCATGCGCGGGACACAAAAGAGTCCAAAAGGATATATGCACGATGTTCACGAAGTATTTGTGACATGCGACAGCACTGTCCGCCTGATTCCTCATCGAATAACCAGGAGAAAGGAGGGAGGGATACATTAATATTTCGGCTGCACCCATTTGTCAAAACGATTATGGGCAGAAAATTCAGGATCGCATGCCGTTCTTACTCCATTTTTCAAGTTCTTTAACAGCTTGTGAAAGTTTTCACAGGTCACCAGCATTCATGGGATTATGCCAGCGGTAACTGCCACCCATTATGCCAGCGGTAACTGCCACCCATTATGCCAGCGGTAACTGCCACCCATTATGCCAGCGGTAACTGCCACCCATTATGCCAGCGGTAACTGCCACCCATTATGCCAGCGGTAACTGCCACCCATTATGCCAGCGGTAACTGCCACCCATTATGCCAGCGGTAACTGCCACCCATTTTTACGATACAATGAATATGTAAGAATTACAAATACGTATGCGTGCGAACGAATTTTAAGCAAACGGGTTTTACGCATCACACGTCAGGCATATCTCTTGCGTGCAAACGATGTTAAGCTATGCACGCGTCACATATCGAGACATTTATCACATTGGCATGATCGGCCATGATGAACCCTACACATGTAGGTCTCGTTGCCGACCTCTTATCAGAATGAATTCCCTAATCCCCCTGTCTGGATGGTCCGGTGCCCTATATGTGGCTTTGACTTTTACCAAGGGATAGGGACCGTGCCTCCGTGGATTTCAGTCTGATTGTGTTTCGTGAAAAAATGGCCTCGGAAAGGGTATGCTTTGTTTTGTTGCTAGCGTTTCACAGGTGTTCATTCATTATCAGAC